CCGAGGGCCTTGACCATAGAAAATTATAATTTGCATAGAAATTACTCAATCTTAAATAGAATTTTAATTGCTCATTATTAATTACTATAGAATACGTAAAATGAATATTTTTTCTTTTTGAAAGTAGCTCTCAGCTATATTCTAACTTTACAAAGTGTATCTAAGGGATGGAACCTATGACGTGTATAGCGTACACCTACATTCTAAATTATATTTTGAGATTATTTAAATTGTTTGATGATCAATAAAGTATTATTCTATACTTCTATGGGTAAACTTTACAATAACAATTAATACATAATAAATCTGATGATACATCTACACAACCATATAAATTATAATGTAGTATAATGTAGGTAGGTATATATATATATCTTGGAATAATTTTATTTTTTATTAACCAAGTTATTAAATAAAAAGTGTTGAAGAAAATAATATAATAAATCTGTTAACTGGTTAGAGATTAGGATGATATTACACATTTGACAAATTGAAATGTGAACTTCTTAGTTACGGTGAATTCTTTCAGTTGCTTACATAGACGTAGAGGTGATCTGTAGAATTTTAGATAATTTGATCAATATCGTTATAAGAATTATATTTATTTTAATATAATATATATTTAAACGTCTTATGTTTTCGAAATTTTTTGATTTAAGAGCAAGTACTTAACTGTCTAATCTCGCCCACGTAACCATGCGATCCTTTTATACTTCGTTATATACATACTCTCTGACAAAACAAAATCCACTTCCGTTCTATCGACCTTGTTGTATTATTTTTAAAACTATCCATCGTTCCAATTATAAACTTTAAAGTAGAACATTTTCAAACATAATATAGGTACCTCGTACCTATGACTGTATAGGATCTTATGTATGCGAATGTAAAATACCTTGAGCCTGAGTAACGAACAATTGTATTAAGTGTTAGATTATAGGTACATAGATGCTTAAGATATATTTTTGATTGTTTGCATAATACTTAGATGATCGTTAAATTATTTTATTGATGGTCTTGACATTATCAACTACGTTACTTATTAGTTATTACAAATTATCTTTAAACGTTTTCAGCACGATAAAACGATATTTACATAAACTACCAATACCGATGGGCGATGACATTAAATTAACTGTTATACTTTCTACAAAACAAAATAAGTAATAACTACCTATTTGGTACAAAATCATAATATTGATACTTAGTTGCTTACAATTGCTATTTGATGTTTATATGAGTCTATAATAGATAAGTATTTATGAATACTAAGATACTATTTTGGCATTTTAGTTAAAATGTTAAATTAAAATTATTTCTAATATATTATGTTTTAGTTAAGCTAACTGAATATTGCGTTTGTTTTATTATTCGTTGAGTAATTATTTTTTTGAGATTTAACTGTATGATGGAAAATCATTTTAAATAATACGTCAAATTAAATTTAATTCCCATCAATCATGCATTAATTCAAATCCAGATTTTTGGACATTTCAACTAATCCATAAAAATAATTTGAATTTATTAGCCTTCTATGTTATTTAAGGTGTGCCTTGTAATAGAACGTACAAACTTTTGCTTTCCTTCTTTGTTGTAAAGTTGTAAATATGATTCTTAAGTATCTATACATACCAATTCCACAAATTAGGATTCGAATAAATGTATTAGTATAAAAAAAAGGTGAGCAGGCTAGGTGAATCATATTGCTATCAATTATCATGTAAATAGAATTTATATTATACGATGCTTATCATCTCTCGGTTTTCGATAAAAACATTGGTCTTCTGATTTCAAGAAAAGAAAGTCCAAGAAAAGTATTCATAAAATATAGGTAGCTTTAAAGTACTATTAAGGTTGAGTAGGTTACCTATTATAACCTATGTGACATAATACTGTTTTTTTTCGATCAGATTTCGTTTCACTCGTGCCACGTGTATGCCACATTTATGTGCAATACTTGACGTCTGACAATAATCGTATACTGTTGAAGACTCGATAAAATATAAATAATACATATCTATATATTTTAACAGCATAAAACTGCAGCTATATTGTTACACAGAACATAGGTACTTACTGTAATATACTAATGTAAATATATTGTAAATTGTGTAACATATAGTTTCGAAAAATGTCATTCAAATACGATATGTGGCGAAACAGTAAATACTCAAGACTTGCTTAGAACGTGTGCGCAAGCAGAGAGCTGATTTTTAGTGGCTTTCTTATTTCTATAGTGTTACGAATAGTGACGTGCGCGCGTTCACGTACTTAATGCTAATACCTTATATTATATTGATAGATAGTCAGTGAACACCAATATCTACTTAGTACTTATAAATGCATACGTAAATATTATATAATATTATAATGTACGTATACTTATACACATCTATCGCAGTGGATAACAAACGAAAATCGTTGGTCAATAATCTGCACTCTATACAGCACTATATTTTTATGTAAGCACCTAAGCTACCCATACTTATACTTGACATTACCAACACGGGTACATCGTACATGTATACTACGCCAAAGTCGATATGATCGACAACGCCGGCATAGGTTTCAAAATAAAACAAATGCGTGTCTAAATCTCGCAGGTAGAGTGAGAAAAATGTAAAATATCTGGGTTCTGCAGAAACTGAATACGATTATCTCCTTTTAACGGTCGAACATAATAATTTTATAAGGTCGTTTGGTGTTTTCCAATAATTTCAGTGCGTAGGTATGTAGTTATAGATTAGAAACAATACATCATTTTATTACGATCCGTCGATATAGACAATAAATGGAAAAAATATTGGTACGCCGTTGGGCCGTGCTTACTTTATCGTGTACCCGAGTATTCCTAGTTCCTACGTTGCAATATGATATTATTATATACGCACTTGTTTAGTGCAAAAAAACGCGCACTGAAACGACACCGGTTATATTTGGTTTGAACGGAACGATAGTCTTTGAATGCGAATCGCGTGACTGCTATCAGTGATATTTAGCCGGATGGTACGGACCTTAACGTGGTACACATAGGTAAACGCGTGCGATTATATAGTATATAGATATTCATATACCTGATTCGTACACTGAAAAAAACTGCTTGTCAAAAGGCAAAAAGTTCGAGTTTTTTCTCTTTTTTTTTCGGTCTCGCAATGAAGGTAAAGGTCGTTTGAGAATTAGGTCGAATACCTCTGTCTGGCATGGCAACAATTTAACGAAAATCACTATAAAAACATGCGACCGAAAAACAAAGATTTAATATGGGTATGAGTATTATAATGTATTTAAGTATAGACACTGTGTATAAATGTATAGGTAACGTAGGTGTGTCAATTTATAATATATATACAGGTTATTATAACAGTGGAATACATTCATTAATTACACAAATTAGTTAATTACACAAAGTGATCCTAAACGATATGGACGCGTTGATGTCAGTAGGTATAGCATCCAATTCAAAACTGTTGTATTCTTGTATTTGCGATGGAGGGAAACAGCGTAAACCCATGTACAAAAAAATACAAATTTGTATAATTAATTTAAAAAAAGGGTGATTAAAGTACGAACAATAGTTTTAGGTAGACTCAAGCCCCATCTACCAAATTCCTCCCAAATTCATTGTTGTGTTGAAGCTTTATATAGCTTATAAAATCGCTATCTATAGCTACACTTTAATATATAAATAGTTTGGTTCGCACATACGATGAGTATATAAAACATTGAGACAGCAACTATTATATATTTCTCACAATGACTGCCGACTGGCTCCTTAAAGTTTAAACTATCATGGTAGGAATTATATAGTTGTAGTCACGATTGCAACCGTCGCGTTTTACTATCATCGTGTGACTATAGAATTAGGATATAACTAGTAAAATTGTAGGTAGGTAGGTAAATACTTTATGAAATGTATGTGTTCCAGGCATTTTATGCGCTCTATGTATAATGTACCTATTATGTGAATTATGTATTATAATGAAATATAGCTGCAATGGGGTATGAATATGACCAAGAGCAATGCATACTCGTAGAATATTATATAGAATGGGTAGGCCATTTCTGACGATCACACGGGAATGAACGTGAAAATATAGAGTAAAGTCTTATCACAAATATATTTATGTTTAATTATATGTATTATGATAAGACATCTGCCAGAATGAGAAGCAATGATAGTCTTTCTCTCTTCCTCGTTATTACGCTTCCCTCTATATTGTTAATATAGCCATTGACTATCCATCCTTAACTATTAAGTATCTACGGAGCAATGTCGTTGTCGGGTAGGTCAGGTTAGGTGTTTGGGTGTTGAACGTCCCCCTTTCAATCGTGTTATGCAAAAAATATATTTGTTCATTGTTGTACGCATCCGATTTCTACAAAATATGTTGTCATATAGTTCTGTTTCATATTTCAATATTTGATGCTATATTATGTCATTATGAAGAATCTATACTAATCTATACTCAATGCTATAATGGAGTGTGAATAAAGCCTTCCACAGATTAAATATTAAGTTGAAACCCTCGCCTAAAATAACCCTGACTACAAGAGGCCCCTGAACAAGATAACAAATATAACATATTTTAAATTGTCTAAACAACAATATTTATAAAAAAAACCATGGGATCTGATTCTTACATCCCTCTTTGTCATTTGGTGTCATATGTGGTTGGTGCATGTATTATGTACATCGTATAACAATCCCAAAGTTTGTAGCCTACATGAATATAATATATTATTATAATACCATTACCATAGAAAGTATTTTCATATTTATATAAATTATTACCTACTTAAATTCGTACATATACTATATTTACTATAGGCGTAATTACATGGTGCATCAATGTATATAACGTGTATACCTACACGACACGCGTATATGGGGATGAATATTACCTATTTATATTATTAATTTGACGGCATTCCGTGCTCATGCGTAATTTGCCGGAAAACAATACAAGCTAAATTAATTTCTATCTCTTATTCTGTTCTAGTTTCCATACACATAGATTCAAAATCGATTTGTAGAGTTGTCAGCACTTGTCACGCAATATTATTTTTCTTGCAGACTTTTCGAACAGCTACAAATACATATACAATATTATATTAATCTGCAAATATTGTACATATAGGTAATTAGTAATTATAATAAATAAATATCACTTTATTATTCCTAAATATTCGTTTGACGAGTTTACGTTTTCTTTTACGTATACACACAAATACACGTAATATATATATGTATAAATTATTTACATACTACTATGTAATAAATGACGAAATAGATAGCATTTTTCCGTGACCCGAAAAAAAACCTTGAAAAAGTCATCGGAAACATCAATAATAGCCAACCCGTAAGGAAAGTTGCTACCCGCGGTTCGTTGCCATTTTCTCACCCTTCCATTAAATATTATAATCTAGTAGGTATACAACTATACTCTGATAAAGAAATTCAATATATCCAAATTATCAATAACTAGCTGTATTGATGGATAATTAATGCATTATGTTCGTCAAATTTATTTTAAATTAAAAATAAATGTACACACTTAGTCTGCATCTGTCTGATGTATGCAGTGTTGATCGTGAAGTAAAATACTAAAACTGAGTTTTTATGAGATGTAAATAATATACCCATAATATATAACTATTGTACTGTACTACTGTGAATGCAATTAAAAAACTAACAACTTTGAGTTATACATGTTTTCTGATGGTAAAAAGCATTCTTTATACAATGCACTACAGGTAATGTATTACGTCAAACCGGAAAAATTGAATACATTAAACTGTATCTATAATAGTATAATCTAGTATACCTAGGTATTAAAGAAAATTTATAAATTTAATCCATGGATTAGTACCTATATTATTGTGAGTTATTATACACTAATGCACAAACGTATATTTATCAAGTGCGTTGCATTAGTGTACCTATCACCTCAAAAAAACACAATAATAATAGATTATAAAAGTTAATTAATTAATGAAAAAATTGTTCAAGAGTACCTACTAAAATATAATAGATTAATACTTTTTAAAATAAAATACTAAAAATTCGAACGTTTTGATAAAATCAATTTTTATTTATCGGTGATTAAGATATTGAAAACTTGTAAACTCGATTTTCTCAAAATCGTCAATTTATGTTATTAAATATACTTGTTGTTATAATAAAATTGTACTTAATATATACATATTATAAAATCCACTGCAATACTGAATACTTAAATACGTATCAGTTATCTTAATATTATATACACACCTATACACCGTACTATTCGATATTGGTATTTTACTATTTTATATATATACAATCATAGGCGCAAATTGACTAAATTTTTTGGGGGGGAACTCAAGCTCCCCTCCCCATAGGCTATAATATAAGTAAAATTATAGTACTAATTAGTAGATTTTTAACTAGGGGGACCAAGTCCCCCCAAGCCCTCTCTATTTGCGCCAATGTTAATATAACCGTCTTGAACAACAATAGTCTCTCAGAAAAAAACAAACTAATAATGTAAAATAAAACAAAAGACCATTTGTCATAACATATCATTTTCTCATTTCAAGGTACCGTGCATAATAGAAGCATTTTATTAAACAATGGGCGGATATCAACAAAGACAATGGACGCCGACTAAGAGACGAGGCCCAATAGCTGCTGAATTTTCCGGTCCCGGGCCAGCAGCGGTAGCGTTACCAACTCTCGTCGGTGAGTCTTAAACATAAAATACATTAATACATTAATAGGCGCTAAGCTAGTAGGTATACAGAAAAAATGAATGAGAGGAGGGGAGGGGGGGTCATATAATATAATATCATATTATAAATCATTTCTAAATGCGTGTCCAATGGGCAATTTCTAATATCCATCACACACGAGGTACCTACCTACATTATCATGCTAGTCGTTATCCACTGTCGAGTTTACTGAAAACTTAGATTTTGGAGTTCATGTTTGAACAAATTAACACTTATTAGAATGTATTATTTTAATCAATTATACAGGAATCCAGAAAATTAAATTAAAAAAAAAACTATTAAGATCATTTTTTGGCGTTTTTTTCATATTATGCTAGCATAGTACCTATACTAATACATAATATACTCCAATTTTGACTACCGCAGGGATCTGTATGACCTGCAGTGGTCGAAGTGGGTGAATGAATACCGATGCTATCCCATCACATTTTTCAGTATAGTCACTTAACATTCATCTTAAATTTAAAAAAAATAATTGATCTCGTAATTTATAGATCTTAATTCTTATATAACGACGTTGATTAATTTTAATTAAAAAAATATTTTTTATTTTTTATTTTGTCATTTTACACCAAAAGTCAGTGTATTAATACGTCACCACTCACCAGTAATAACCTACCAAAGGCATATAATTTCACGACATCTATCATAATATAATAAGTACTTAATCACTAATCACAAAAATCTGCACTAATACAACCGTGATAGATAAAAGAACTGCGAAATAATACCGACTGTAGCATGCGCAAAGACATAACTCGTGAATAGTTTTGTGCTGAGGCGCATATTTTTAATATAAAATGAACAACGGAGGTGGAAGTAATGCGATAGTAATCCCGACCAGGTACTACGGTTAAATAATATTAATACGAAAAAAAAATTCCATTTCCGCTCCACGTATTGTTTACTTCGACCACTGACCACACTTTGTTTGGGCAGTGCTCAGGGTGGGATCCGCTGGCTCAGCTATAATTCCAGCCATGCGTTCATCGCTACAAACTTACGACGTACAAAATAGTAAACAAACTACATATTACTATAATTTATAGTTATTACTATGCAATACAATAACCTAGGTAACTCCTAAGTCTAAACTTACCTTTACTGTATCCGTACTTCCGTAGTAAACTCATACCAGGCTATACTATAGTAGGTATACAACACCCTTGAAATCGTCACAAAGGTACCTATAGCCTTATACCAAACCACATATTATCAGCTAAAAGTTTCCCAATTTTTACACAATATACCATAAGGCTATAACCAAAACGATAATGATACCAAAACCTTCTACCTACATAACCATACTAATATGTATAATGTATTACTTGACACTCCGTCACACTCGTCATTACTATTATTGTGTATTATATAACTACCTATAAAATACACATAATACATGCACGGAATGTGTTTGAGCCAAAACGTTTTTATTACAAAAACTTACCTCAAAGGCCACAGCCCACAGGAAAAACTCTCATACCTCGTGAGATAGTCAAATGTCGATATTTTTTTTTATTTGCTAGGTATCCGAAGACTTTATGCAGTTCAGGCTGAACTCCAATTTAAAAAACTTTACTATCGGATTTAATATATTTCTAAACAATAGACATTTTCTATGTAAATATTATATATATATATAGTGTAGTTTTCTTATGAGTCATAATATTTCAAACGATCGAATTGAGCGTTCATTTATTAATAGTTTAGATTAATAAATTATAAATATAATGTACCTGTACCTAGCTATATGGTAGGTACTATATATTATAATTTATTAACTTGGATTAGTAATTAATTTTAAAAAATTACGATTTTAATATGAAAGGTGAAAAAAAGAAGAAAGAAGAAAACTATTATACTTATAATGCTATTTATTTTTACCACAATAACTAAAAGTTATAAAATTCTCATAAATTTATTCCGTGGCCTATAGTAAAAAATTTACTGAATTTATTTGAATTTACAGGAAATTTAGTACCAGAATCCAAACGTGGACGAGCACCGGCCTTTAGTTTTGGTGCTAGGTATGTTATTTTGATTTCTATTTAATAAAATAGGAATCATATTTTATTAGTACAGTTTTAGGAAATTAATGATTGTTATTTCATTTAATAGACACAACGAAAAAAATGACAGCGCCGGACCAGGACCTGGTCAATATAACATCACCGGATTGAGCTCAAAAGGTTAGATAAACGTAATAATAATCTTAGTAAACGTACAAGTATTCACCACTTGCATATAATATTGTACCCACTTTTAATGAATATAGCTACCCATTTTGTGTACAACACAGTGTCACACAGTACCTACTTAGTCAATACAGTTACAAGGTATTCTATCTTGCAATATCGCAGATGAGGAGTAGTTGTAAAGTATAATAACCTACATAATATTATCGTTCCTCGTTTATGAAATTATAATAAAACATTTAAACATTCCCCCAACAGAGTATCTAAAAATATGATTTTTTGAGAATATATTTTCTAAAGTTGTACAATCACTACAACTGTAGATTGTTTCCCGAGGTGTGCACAACTTTTGTAATTTTTTGGAGAACTTCGATGCTAAAAAATCGGACGTCAAATGAATAGTTGCTTATTGTTACAATATACAACTATTATAACCTAAGTCCTAAATGGAATTCAAAGCTTCGATGAACAGAGTAGTGGACCAACATTTGAGGAATATTTCTGTACCACTTTTCCGCTCATCTAATATTTAAGTAGGTATAACTACTGTGTACGTTTCAAGTTACAACTAATAATATAACTACTCGTTGAAAATTTGAAGTACCCTCTTAAAAATAAATCTAGTTTGAAATATGAAATTAAAAATGTATTTTGTCATTCAAAATAGTAAAGACTTAAAAAATAATTAAGCTAAAAAACTAAAAACGGATTTTCTTTTCAAAAACGTTGTTTGCTGCAATGGCATTGACTAATGTAAAAAAAAATATTCTCAAAAAAGTTGAAAATTTACGAATTAATAATATTGTTCCTACTCGAATCATGAATCACTTTATAGGTAATTTTATAATTCATAATTTATTCTATGGCCCGTATTATGCAGGCAAAGATACACCGCCGGCGTCTACCCTGCACTCGAGGCCCAAGGAAGTGAGGCCCGACAACTTTCCGGCCCCCGGTGACTACAACCCGGAAAAGGCCGAGAAGGTGATCCACGAACACTCACCGCAGTACACTTTCGGACTGAAAACGCAGGTGGACAAGCCGAACCCGAACCCGGCGCCTAACGTGTACAACATCCCGACGGTGATGGGCGCGGCCAAGGAGGGGCACTTCAAGGCAGCCCCGTCGTTCAGCATATCCGGCCGCACCAAGGAATTCCCCGACGGCCGGCTGCTGAACCCCGGCCCGGGCGCTTACAAAGACGTAAGCGCAGACAGTATTAAACCGAAATCGCCGGCGTACACGGTCAGCGCCCGTTACAACATGCCCGGCGACAGTTCCCCCAGACCCGGCCCGGGAGCGTATTCTCCCGAAAAGGTTAGTCGTGACGCGCACATATAGTACCAGCACTAGGGCACGCGGGGGCGGCTCCTGGAGTGGCCTAAGGTTCACCCCTCCCTCGAGCCCCTATTTCTAAAAAATTGTACACCTATTTTTAAAACATATTTACAAAAAGTAAATATAGGTACCATTACCTATATGTTGAAACCACTCTGAAAGGTATGACTTAGTTCTCTCTACTCAGCCAAGTCTCTGGAGCTGCCACTGAACACACGTGCCTCGTCTTCCAGCTGCAAAGTTCTATGACGAGTATCACACCCTTATATATACGAGCGTATAGGTCTACTTATAGACACTACAATTGTCAATTAAGCAGGCACACACATACTTACTATTCAGGACTACTAGGTCACCGGGGGAAATCAGCTAACCCAATTTGTTTTTTTCGACTGTCGATGTGTAAGTATTGCTCATATTTCAACAAACCAGTTTTCAACAAAACCGATTTTGTTTGTTGTTATAATTAAAAAATGATTAACTGAGAGAACTAGATTTGAAATTGTCATCAAATATTTATATTAGAATTAATATATTAATTACCTAATAGAATATAATTGGTCACCAGTAGCACAATAAAACATTGGAGCAAACCTTAGTCCTCAAGCCGAGTAACAGTGTACCATGAATCATGATGAAATAAATATGCCTAATTTGATTTTGTCTTGCAGTTCATACCTAGTTGAACAAATGAAATACCTATCAACTTTTATAATAGAATGTCAAATATTTTGTCTACAATGATTAGCAAGACAGACAAAATTAAAATTGAAGTCTTTAAAATAACAGGATGTTTACAGCAATTATAATACAAGTTACAATAGTAACATTAGTTGTTTAATTAGTGTCTATGGACTCTAAGTTTTGATTGACATACATCCAATGTGCAACACAATAATAATTTTTTTTTAAAATTACAGTTTGAATTTGTATTATTTATGTGGTTTTATAGAAAAAACAATTTCAATAATTGGCATATAAATTTGAGAATTTGACTATTTATTTATTACACAATCACACACATGAATAAAATATATATGAAACATAGAAAACATAAACAATACGAGTCAATATTCACTAATATGTACATAATATTCTTAAACTAATGAGTGAAACATTTTAGGTGACAATGTTAAAATCGTCTGTACCATCATATTCTTTTGGTATAAGACATTCGCAGTATGAAGGAATAATATATGAACAAGATTAGGTCAGTGCGTACAGCATAAACACTTCACAGTAATTTGTATAATGTAAAAGCACTTAAGACAAATTCGAATGTCTAGTATATGCACAATTTGACTAGATTATGATTATTTAAAAAATACACTTTTGCTATACACATAGAAAGCACAAATTATAAAATAAATTAAATCTCACAGTGTTAAGTAATTAGTAATGAAAGATACAGTAGTCACAAATAAAAAACTAGTTGTGTTCATGGCATAATAATAAGCAGAACTAGGCACTCAAAACATTAGGTTAAATAAAATATGACAGATTTTAGTAAAAGTTCTACGATTATGTCCATGGTCGCATAATAAATAATTAAAATATATACAATCACACAAAACAAAAAAATGAATATATCAATCTGCTAAGCTAACAGAATTTAAAATTATTTAATTTCACTCATTAACACATCATTGTGGTATTTCCTTACATGATATGTGAAATGTAAAATCCTGTTTTTAAGATTATTAATGTTTAACCAATCTACTGTAACAAAAAAACTTCAGCAGGTTGGTAAATTAATTCGATCTGAGATATGCGTTAACGGAATGGGTCTTGAGAGTTACTCACATAATATTTTAAAATGACATTTATGTCTAAAAAAAAGTTATCTCAGCTAAATAGTAAACGTTTGGATATACTTATGTTTATATACAAATATTTACAACAGTGTAATCTTATTATTTCAGGTTCAAGTCGATTTGTCCCAAGCACATTCGTTTGGAATTAAACATTCACCGTATTCTAATTCTTTTGGCATTGGTTACTGAATGAAAAAGAAAACAATTTAACAAGTTGATACGCCTAACAAAATATATTGCTTTCAAATACAAAGTGAAACTACCAAGAAAAAAAAATTGTTTTTAAATATTATACTATGAATTTTTTACTGTAAAATTATTATTTTGAAAAACATAAGAAATATGAAATATGAATCATTTAACTAACAAACAAAAATATGGAATACATTTAACTAACATAAAAATTGTAACTTTGAACAAATATATTAGTTATACAATTGTCTTATTTCTGTGTTATATGTTTTATCCATTTAATCATAACAATCAAAATAACCTATCATAGAATTAATATATTACATATTTTTGAAATAGCCTGTTGTGTTTAACATCAATATATTAGGATTTTCTTTTTCAAATTCAGTAGGAGCTCGTTCCCGTTCATCATCTCCCCATTCTCCAAGTGTGTTCATAACATCAGGTTGTTGACTTAGAAATTCTTCTTCTTTTTCAGCTAAAATAAAATAATTAGTAAAATTGTTTTGAAGAAATTTAAAAAATAAAAATAACTTACTATCTCTTTTGGCAAATTTCTCAAACATATTTGAATAAACAGATTTTTCTAACTTTTTTTGCGATTTTAGTTTTTTATCACATTCAATTATTTTTGTCATAGCTGCACGATTATTTGGTTCTTGTTGTAAAACAGCTTCAAAACTTTGTTTTGCAGCTATTAGTTCATGTAAACCTACCAAAGCCTTTTAAAATATAAAATAAAAAAATACTATTAAAAAACTAAAGCCTTGGAATATGTAACGGGGATTGTATTCAATAATAGATAAATTAAAAGTTTTATTACACAAATAATATTAGTTTATTTAATATTAATTTTTAAACATAGGCAATGTACATTTTGAAAATAATAAATATTATTTATAGAAAAAAATATATTTTTCTTTAAAACTATACAGTGTTCAGCAAAAGAATGCAGGATGGCTCGATCAAAATTAATTCTTCTGCATATCCCCAACAGATACCCTGCCATAGGGGAACCGGTTTTTATAACAGGGTGACACCGGGAAGTATGAGCAGAATATGTATGTTCTCTTGCTGAACAAAGTATAATTACAGCAGCAACAATAAAACAAATAAATTAAGTATATGAAGTATGCTAAATCAAAGCTATTATTTGTCCTTATTTTTAAAATTTAATTCAGTTTAGAATTCTTATTTGGTTATAAAAATATATCATTACTTTCATATTATGTACCTAGTTTTTGTACTATAATTGGCTTTTATATATAAATGTTTGGAAATAAGTTTAGTAAAAGTGCCTCTTAAAAATGAATACATACCTCTCCTTTTCTAAACATTGCTTTGACATTTGTAGGTTCAAGTTTTAATGCATTATCACAATCATTTTTTGCTTGAGTGTGTCTATGTGATTTTAAATTACATAAAGCAGAATTCAAATAGGATGAAACTGAAAGAAATTTGATTTCTTGCTTTTGACTTTCATTGCCTGAAATCAAAAAAATTACAGGTAACTATAATTTATTCTAAAAAATAAAACATTCAATTAAAAGTAAATACACACTTGAAATATCCACTTTTAAATAGTCTACCACTTTCTTATAGAATTTAAGTGCTAGTTTATAATTATTCATTTTAAAGTAATCGGTTCCTTTTTGTTTGAAAAATTTTGCTTGATTTATACGATCTTCACTTGTCAATGACCAACTTTCTTCAAACTATAACATAGACTTATTATTTTATATTTCATTATTAATAGGTGTTATAAACATTTAATAAAATAAAAAGAAGAATTTTGGTGTTATATCCAACCATTTTTTTTTTTTCGGTTGACTTGTTATAAATTATAATTAAGGGTGTTAATGCTGGTTTTTACCATTTTCTGTGATTCTATAAAATTTAAAAATCTTATTTTAATTGCTACCTAGTCCAACCTATCTTCTGCCTGATACCTTATTTAGAGGAAAAGGTGGGGGGATTTGATATGGTGTATTACATCATCAAAAATGACTTCATAAGAAAATTTCCCACACCTTGTAGATATGTCGAATTTTGATTTTCTACAGCGTCTGAGTCTTTCCTTTAAGACATGTTTATGTACTAAAAACACACTGGCTCTGAAGCCCTTAATATAATAGAAGCAGGACCACCACGGCTGGTTTGAGAAATCCCTCTTATTTGTAAAAAGAAAGGGGAGAATATGTGCCTATATATAACAATAGATTTTATGATAATATTAGAATTCTAATTAAAATATTATAATAGATAAAAACAAATATTATATATATAATTATTTAATAATTTCTAACCTTTTCAAAAAAGTTAAGTTTGATGACATAAACTTCATTGAAATCATCTTCTCCATATTCCAAAAACGTATGTTTTCCATGAATAAATAATCTTGATTTCTCTTTTGTTTTAAATTTAGTTAATGCTATCTCTATACCAGGACAAACATCATAGTCTTTGCCTTCTCCTAATCTAAACTCAATATCTCTTTCTTCAATAACACTACCATTTTTTTCTTTTTCTAAATGAATATTAACTAGCGAAACACTACTAGGTGTAGAATGGTCCACTCCATTTTCTAATATTTGTCTTGTTATACTTTTATCTTTACGACGACTGATATCTTCCCATGTCCATTTCAGTAAGTGTATCTCAAATGTAAGCCAAGCGTTAGGGGGGATTATTTGTTCAAAACCATCTAACCCATAGCCATAATTTGGATGGCATTGAAATGTTGATCTCTCATCACAAGTCATTGAAGACACAGCCAAGTCAAAACCTTTAATAGTCATATCTAAAATGAGAAAAAAAAACAGAAAATTTAAATAAATGCAAAACAATTTTAACCAAATTATGCCTACCTTTTCCTATTGTAAACTGAAATGGTTCATCATTAGTTTTGTCAAATACAGTGCCATCAGAAAGTGTACCAGTGTAATGAACCCAAGCCTTACAACCTTTATGTGGCTTATCTGTTCCATTGCCATGTATTAATACCTCTTTCAAGACTCCACCATCTAAATTATGCGTGATGTCCATTTTCGAGCAATGTTTATTTACTAATAAAAATTATAATAAAAACGTTAATTTATTTATAGTGAGTACTAAGTACGTAACAATTGCAAGGGAATAGCAGGGTATGTTTTAATTTAGTAAATTAACAAGTATTGGAAATTTAAATTAGTAAAAATTGTAAGCTAGGAGTAGATGATAAGATTTAATGTTTATACTTCACCGAGCCAAATCAGTAATAAGTAATAAGTTATGAGATTTTAGTAGGTAATTAAAATTATTTTGGTGGATGGAGAAAATAAATATTTAATTATAATTTTATTATATCAGTTTTAAAGTAAAGACTGGGTTCAAAAGTATCTTATAGTTCAATTTATTTTAGATTTGAGTAAAATATAAATAGGTAATTCATGAAATTAAGATAGAAAGTATTAAATCCGTAGGCTGTGTGTCTCATACAAAAAATGCACAGCTCTTCTAAGAGTTTGATAAAAATATTCACTTCGCCTGATCTGAAAGCTTAAGAATGTCCATAAAGTGTTAGGTAAATATAATATATATAAAAATAAAATATACCTATTCAATAAGGTACACAGCAAAGGTGTGACAAATAATGACCGTACTACAAACTCATAGTAAAATCAAAGATCAGTTATAATATTATGATTCAAAGATTTGATTCAGTGCAGAGAGAATGAAGTTCATTTGCGTGTTGTATTATTATTATTTTAATTGCAGGCGATTTAAGTTATTATTAGATGTAAAATGAAATAGAATTAAAGATAACAAACAATTAGATAAATACAGAATAGAAAATTGAACTTAAATTCGTAATTGCTAGAATTATAGAATAGTACACTACTACAACACTATCAGAGTATTAGACTATTCTAATTCCTAATATCCAGTACTAGCCAGCTTTCAGTTATATGATCAAATATTATTAAAATCATATACCCAAAAATGTATTGTTTTTTATTATCACTTATCATTAAGCGGCTTATGCCTTAAGGTTGAATGCACCAACGGTGTGACCAACCTACGCTCCGACTCACCATCTGCAACTGACGGGCGCTCACTGTAATTGTCATATGGGTTTTTTTTATCGAGTTTCATCCTTTGAGCACGATTGTTGCTAAATATATATATAAATACACAGCCAAGTTCTAACATAATATTATATTTTCATTGCACATAGCCACATAGGTACCCTGGTACCCATATTACATGTAATATTCGTTTTATTGTATTGTTCTATACTCTATGTTTTTATATTGTGTTTTATTCCGTGTTTAGTGTTTAGTGTTTACGTTCAATAATTATTATTATTACTGTTAATTGTATCTTTTTACCATTTTTCTCGTTCTCGGATCGGTCCGATCAGTATTTTTGTTGATGTGCGCTGCGCTCGTCGTTCCGTGGATGTACTTCACAGTGTCATAATTGTTATCGTCATTGTTACATACTTACATGCGAAAACCCGTCTTTGACGCATCAGCGACGACGACAACAACAATAATAATAATAATAATTTAAATAATAACAATAATATTATTATTATTATTACTATTATTATTATTGTAATATCACCGTTGAGAGACGTGATGCACGTCCGCGGAAAACACCCGCTTGACGTGCCTGTCGGTACGCCGCTCAATGGTTTTTCCGCGGAATGCCTCGCATAAAAACGTATCGGGTAATAGAGAATAATAGCTGCTGAAGTCGTGGACCACAAAAACGCTCTACCCGACGGACCGAAATCACACCGAGGAAAGATCGTCTTCCTGGTCCGACGGAAATGCACGAACGCTTATCGTATTTTGGATAAAAGTGAGTTTTCCGGACCCCGGAGAGTCGTAACAATGGGGATGATTAGGGCACGGTGGCGACTTTGGACGGGTAACCTCCCCTCATGGCGCGGACGGCCGTAAAACGATAATGACTAATTATTAATAATAATAATAATAATATTATAATTATGACCATTAAAGGCGGACGTCCTTCGCGAAACCAGAACGCGACGTTTGCCATTATAGAAATATGTGATTATACTGAATACAGTAATGAAGGGGTAACTACTCGCTGATCGTGTTGAAACGAAGAACGAATAAAACGATTTCCCGTGCGACATTATTCATATGTCGCATTCCGTACAAGATGTTTATTATTATATTATAGGTAGGTTCTCTGTTGTCGACAAGGTTGTCTAGTGCAACTTGATAGTGTGTGCCTGCGCCATTAAATTCGATGACTGCACACTTTTATTCTCTCTTAGCTCTTTTCCAGTCGTGGTACAATGTTATTTGTTGATCCAGAAACATCATCCATCATGATGCAGAGGATTATTATTGTCTTGTTATGCAATATTATGATAAATGTTTAGAATGTCCAGCCTTTGCGGCTTAGCGATTGTTAATTTCACAATAGGTAGATAAAATAAAATAAATTTATACTGTGATTTTACTATCAGTATTCAGTTGGTTGATATGATATAAAATAATAATAATAATATTTGGTATATATATTTTATTATTTACATATATTTAATATCCAATCAACTTGCATGTACACCAATGACAAATTAAATTTCGATATGGATAACCATAGCAATATCCGTGTAGGTAATCAATACTATATTATTATATATTATTAATTTATACTTAGAACATCTTAGCGACAAATGATGTTAAAAATAACTATGAACTAACCGCGAATTGAAATATCTTTATCTATATCTTCCTATTTCCGACCATGATTACACATAATTTTAAAACCTTAAGTAAACAGAACATTTTGCTTTTACCTTTGACTGTCCAGTGTAATGTGTTATTTAAACGTTTAGTGTGGTTAAGGCGTTACGCGGTATCAACAAATATTGAATTTCATATTTTCATTATAGTATTATTCGATAGTGTGACAGTGTGTTATGAATAATAGATAAACAATATTAGTAGGGTTCCTACTTCCTATGGTATTCGTTTTGAATACATTTAAACATTTAATAGTTTAAAACTTCCAGTGTTAACAAGTCTATTGATAAAATGTCAATTTAATAGGTATATCATAATTATACTTTAGTTGATACTACTATGTAACCATAGATATTAGATACTACTACTACTAATTTTTTTTTTTTTTGATTCGATTAATGTTAATTACAAATATAATTTTACTTGACATTCTAATTTGATGTGAACTATACTTTAATATATCTATGTAAACTGCATATTATACTGTATTTTGTTCATTGTGAATAGTTTCATAAATAATATCCAAAAATAAAAATAAATAAAAAATACCTTTTTTGATTAAAGTAGTATGATTATCAGTTTGAAAATATTTACAAATATTTAAAATCCCACATTATAAATTTTTAATTATTTAGTATTATTGGATCTATCAAGATTAAGTACAAGATTGCTCACATTATACCATTATTACTTTCTGTTCATATAATATGAATAATGTATGTAGTATATACTGTATATAATATTACATAACACTAAATCCAGCTGTCAACCAAACTAATTTCAGGATTGTTTTCTACAATGATTCAGACTTATCATAAAATTAAAAATTATTCAAATTGAATAACGTAAGACAAATGCTCAATATCAAATTGACTTATCCTCTCTAGATTCTTCTTAAATGCCATTATATATATTAAAATTTAAATTGAATAAATTTTATATTTTAGTTGAATGTTTAATTAGTAACACAATTTGTATCATTCTAGATGGAGTTATCTGATTCATCTGGTAGTTCATCGACTGTGACTCAGTCTATGTGTCACGTACGAGCCTCTGAATTGTATCCAAAAAGAGATTTGGAAACCGATGAGGGTCCTCCAACTTTAGAGGCCCCATTGGTGCCTTTTGTTCCTTTAGCCGGCGAATCTGTTGAATATTTAGGTCGCGGCACCAATAATACTGTGTTAGCCCTATCCAATTATCGTTTTTACCTAAAAGTATCTGATGAAGGGTCAAAACGAAGAAGAGGTGTTCAAGACAGCAATATACCATTGGGCCTTATTGAAATGATTGAAATAAAAGATCTATTTTACTTGATAATTAGTTGCAAAGATTCTCGGACATGCAGGTAAGCATTCATGTTTAAATTATTTTCCAGGCAAAAAATTTAGTAACTAAATCAGTCAAATCTATAATGAATCAATTTAATTTTAAGAACAGTTGTAAATTGAAAGAATATAGTTGTAAATTGAATTAGATTTTTATTATAATTGCGAAACAAACTTAATGATAATATTATGTAACTGTTTCTCAGCTATATTAGAATAGAAGTTAAGTATGATGTCCGCCTTCCTAAAAATGTTGTTTTCTTTTGTAACAAATTCTATAAAGTATTGAATGAGATATTTTGAACAAATAAAAATAAAAATATATAGACACATAATAGTATAATAAACAAAAGAATAATGAAAAGTAAAAATTGAAACATAATAATATCTACCTAATATTTGTATGACTGTTACAGAATTAAGCATTCATTTTTATATGTAACCTTGGTTTATATTTCCATTTCATTAAATTTATATTAACACTTCTAAGGGTTCCTTATTGAGGTAGGAGCTTAATTCCTCTAATTTAAATATATGCATATATGTATATATATATATATTATGTCAGGTAATATTAATATTATAGGTTGACACAATTTATCTACATTTTATTTGAAATACGTAAGATTAATTAAATATCCATGTTACCAAAATAATCAATTTTGTTAGAAAAATATTATAGCTAAAACTTTTTTTTGTTAGGTTTAAAAGATATAGTTGTTAGTTAGATATTTTTATAAAAATGAAAGGGCAATGGTATTCTTCATTATTTCACTTTGTAATTCATTTTGTATACACAATTGATTATTAGAAATATGATAACTCAGGTAATTAACATGGTTAAGTACATTTTTACTAAACTTTTAGTTATTTAAGATTCTTAGTTTTAGTTGTTATTACAAAACAGTATATTTGGTTATTACAGGTGTACTTTTACTACAAATGATTTATGTTTGGAGTGGTATAAGCGATTGACCAGAGTAATAGCATCACCAAAAAATGTTCAAGATGTTTTTGCATTTGCATTTCATGCTTGGGCCATTGAGGATCAATGTAATGAAGACATTTCTTTAAACTTAGGACATGATGGTGATGATGATTATTTTATGAAAGAGGTAAATTAATTAGGTTAAATAGTATTAAACTTAATGCTATTAACATTGCTCTACATTTTTTAATTCATTATACAGATTGAAAGACTAAATATAAGTGTTCTAAGTGATAACTCTAAATGGCGTATTTCAAAAGTAAATTGGGACTATAAATTATGTGCCTCTTATCCAAATCGATTATTGGTTCCTTCTTGTATTACTGATCAAACATTGGAAGCTGCAGCCAAATTTCGTAGTTCCAAACGAGTTCCAGTAATTGTATGGAGGTAAAATAGTATACATTTAAGAGGATGCCAGTTCAATATTTGTTTTCTCTCAGACCTACATGTAACATAATTAAAATGTTTTCACCTAAAATTGTTTTTCAAGATTTTTAAGTTATCTTGGAGTAAAATTACCTATTACAAAAGTTATAGAAAATTATATTTTTGAGGGTATTACATATCAGTTTTATATTTAAATATTTTATTATTATTTGACTTTGTATTCAACTATCAAAATAAAAGAAAATTGTGTAAGTTTAAATGATGTTTAAATTGTTTTAAGACAATATTTAGATTAATCTATATGTCATGCTTTCTAAAACATACAAAAAAATGACTGGTGTAAATGTGTTTAGTCTCTGTTGCTGCTAGTGGATCAGAGAAAAAATAAATATTGCGCTGACATCCTCTTAAATTCTTAATCAATATTTTTAAACATTATTTATATTTAAATTATAATTAAATTGTTATGACTTAAATATAATATTAGGCATAAGGGTAATGGAGCTATTTTAGCAAGATGTTCCCAACCTGAAGTGGGTTGGTTAGGATGGAGATCCTCAGAGGATGAAGACTTATTGAAAGCAATTAATGAATCTTGCCAAAATAAATCTAAAAAATCTAAAGTAAATACAAAGATTACCTTCATAAAATAAATGATGCATAATGTATTTATATGCAATTAATTATCCTTCTTTATAATTTTATTAGAAATTAATTGTAATTGATGCACGCTCATATCCGTCAGCTGTTGCGAATCGCGCTCGAGGTGGAGGATGTGAATGTCCCGAATATTATCCTGGATGTGAAATTCGGTTCATGAATTTGGCAAATATTCATGCTGTCAGAAAAAGTTTCCATTTACTTCGTCAACTATGTGCTTCGCCTCCTGATCTTCCAAAGTATGTTCTTCCTAAATATTTTAATCTAAATTATAATTTTTTATTTCTAATTTATCAAATATTTCTTTTAGCTGGTACAGTTTACTGGAAAACACACGATGGTTACATAATATTAGTGGTCTTCTTCATGCTGCTAATACTGTTGCAGCAACTATTGAATTTGAAATGCAACCAGTTCTTGTACACTGCTCAGATGGTTGGGATCGTACTCCTCAAATTGTTTCTTTGGCTGAACTAATGTTGGACTCGTATTATCGAACGATTGATGGTTTTCGAGTTTTATGTCAAAGAGAATGGTTAGACTTTGGACATAAATTCGCTGATCGTGGTCAAGGTGAAGATCCAAATGAACGATGTCCAGTATTTATTCAGTGGTTGGACTGTGTGCATAATGTGATGTCACAGTATCCTTGTGCTTTTGAATTTTCCAAAACGTACTTAGTCAAATTAGCACAACATACATACTCAAATCTTTTCGGTACATTTTTGTGCAATAGTGGTGCTGAAAGAAAACGCACTGGGATAGGTACTGCTACATTTTCTGTTTGGAAACATTTGGCTGCATCTGCTGAATGTAGAAATCATTTATATTCATCTCAACAAGACAATGTAATATTATTAATAAAATTATTAAATTTTCTTTTAAAATAATATGATTATGTTTGGTTGTAGGTTTTATGGATTAGTTGTAATGTAAGAGATATGAATCTTTGGAGAGATTTATATGTTGGACCATTTACTGATGGACCTCAACTAACCAAAACTACTGAAATATGTAATTCTATGTAAGTCATTTGTTAGTGTAATACCTACATATTTATTATTGATTTAAATACAGTTTATATTTGTTTGTGTCTTTTTAAGAACATATTTAATTTGAATCTTAATTTTTATTAGCATTGATACCATATTAATATTTGTTCATTTTAGATTGGGAATGGAAGGCATAATTGATCCAATAATAAGAATTGATCAGCCTATTGTGATAAATAGTGAAAGTCCATGCATGGAGCTTTCAAAACCTGAAGATACAATATCTTTAGATGACAGGGATGATAAATCTTCAGACACAAATTCTAGTTCATTGTCAAGTATTATTGCTGAAGAAAATGGTATAGGTAAATAATTAAAAGGTTCCTTAACATTTAACAGTAAATAACAAAAGTGGGCATTAACTAGTTAAAAAGTGATTTTTCCTTTTTAACTTAACTAGTCAAATGCATAATTGAAATAAATTTTCTCAGTTGATTTAAGGATGATAAATTCTTCAAGTAAGATTTTGTATTTTTTGATAATAACTCAATGCTATAATAATACAAACTCTTCTGTTATTTTTCTTTATAAAATAATACTTTATTTAGATATATTTTAGTAGAATAGATTAACATAATATTATGTGACCTTAAATTGGTATTTGATATAAAAAAATATAATTATTAATTGAGATGTTTATACAGTTAAAATATTTAAGAGGACACTAATGGTGTCACACTACTCATGCATTTGTTGTCTCCCTCTTACATACATACAACCGACTACCGAGCAAATTATAATTCATTAATTTCAATGGTAGCTGTTAGTTTTGACATTATAAGTAAATTGACCATAGGTGCAACTAGACCTCTAAAACGTAGGGTGCTATAATTGTAAATGTCCCACAGAGGAGGGCTTAACTCCTGGTGAAGTTACTTAGAACTATTACATACATAAAGTATTTAAGTTTATAATATTATGTAAATATCAGTACATATATATAATGTTATAAAGATTTATGATGTTTAAATATTATTCTATTATATTAGTATATAACTAGGTAAACAAGCCAAAATAATCAGTTTTTTCAATTCACGTGTCAGAATGTAACAACTTAACATTAGGTACTTGATACTGAAATATATCTATAAATTATAATTATATTGCCAAATTAGATATACCAAATTTTGTAAAATGAACTAAATAACATTCTTAATATATATAGTTGGTCATTAGTCATGATAGTTGCTCCGATTAAATTGACTTATCATCAAATTTTTTGGTAAGACATTTATCTGTGCTTAAGCATTGGGTTTAAATCAATACTTTAATTTTTAAGCAATACACACGAGCATGGTAATTTGTGATTTTTCACATACCCATATCTTGCTTGAAAATTAAGATATTGGAAATTTGCCTACATGTAATCACAAAAATTCTTATCTAAATGTTTGATTACATGTCAATTTACTCTAATATCAAAATTATTGAATCTAGTGAACAAACATTTTCTGGGTCGTATGTTTATAATACTGAGTCAACAAACACATGGGTGGTGTCCTCTTAATAATCAGGTATAATAAAATCGATATAATATGTACTGTAATTTTAATTTAGAAAATTAGAAAGAAATAAGAAAGCAGTCACTCTTTATGTGATCCACATCACTAATTAAAAAAATTAGATTAACTCTTTTTAAACTTAATTAAGTGATATTTTTTTCTATATTAAATGTTAACTTAAACTAATTATTTTAATTAACTTGCCCACCTTTGGTGAATAGTAGTATATTATATTTTATTAAGTGTATTCTGCTAAATTATACTATTTTATATTCATGTAATTATATTTTATGATGTAGAACGACATTTGAGTTCAACTAATTATGTCTTAAATACTGTCGATGGACTGTTACCACTTGTAGATGACGTACAAAATAGACTTCGGCAGTTAAATTTAGAACATAAAGTAAACAAATTAATAAATTATTTAAGTTAACCATTAGTATTAATTATCATTAAAATGTTTGGTTTTAGACAAGAGAAGCAGCACTTCAAAATGAATTACATGTCACTCGGCTAGTACTGTTGCGGCAAGCAAGCCATCGTTGTATTGAAGCAACGACTACGCCTGATGTGAATGGTCTATCACTAGCAGAGAAAATTGATGATGATGTGCGTAGTTTATTTAAAATTTAAAAGTATTAGCAACCTTATTTGGTTCACTGATACATTTATCTAGTCATGTATTAGAATGAGGGTGGAGTAATTTTTTGAAGGTATCCGTGTGTAGCAGCACAGGAGGAGAGACGACATTGTCGTGGGAACCTGTGGAGTCGTTCGATGCTCAGCCAACTCTGTGGGTACCGGATCACGCAGTTACCCAGTGTATGTCGTGCGACAACAAGTTCTGGCTGGGAAGACGGAAGCATCACTGTAGGCGAGTAAAAGATATTCTTTTAAAAAAATTAGTGTATAGTTGTAGTGGTTTGCATCAATGTTATATTTTTTATTTATTAATTATTATTAGAAGTTGCGGAAAAATATTCTGCGCAGACTGTTCACGAAATCTGGTTCCGATGCCAGCTGAACAACTCTACGAACCTGTAAGAGTGTGTGAGCCATGTTTTTCAATTGGCGCTTTAAGGACCACTAGCACTTCAACTACCACCACCACTTGTAAGCAAGCTGTTGCAGATGATCAAAAAAATGTTAACATAACTTTACAACCGGCACCATCAAATTAAACTAAAACTAGTTATAGGTGAAAGTTGATCAACATACACACATATGCAACATTGTAATCTGTATGAATTGTATGGAATCATCTTTGTAAAGTGTTCTGTTCTATAACAATACACAATTCAAAGTTGTGACTCGTCCAACAAAAATATTATTATTTTTTGTTTACTTTTCTTTGTTATTATCTAAAACTTATTGGTCCACTGACTATTAATTACCCAACTGAGTAGTGAACATCTTTACTTGTATGATAAATAATAATGATTTTAAGGTGTAGGCTTCTAAATTAGTGTCTATTAACTTTTATTATGGTTACCCCACAAGCTGGACTATTTTTTGTGCACTTAACAAGTAATATTTAAATTGTATCTGTTATGTTTTATCCTTTTATATATATTATAATAAAAATAAAGTTTAACCATTTTTGGAAGTTTATTTACTGTTATAAGTAATAGATATAACCATTACATATCCGTTACCGATTTAACTTCTTCTGATGTAAATCAACTGTTGGTATTTTGTTGTTGTTGTACTTCACATATAATAATATGTAATTAATGTAATTTGTATATAAGTTATTTAATTGAATAAAATAAAATACAAAATGAAAAAAAAAAAAAATAACATTTGTTTAATATAATATGCATATATATATATAATATATATGTTTACATGTATGTGTAACGTAAAGAAAACATTTACTCACTGAGCACTAAGAAAACAATGGAAATGAGTTTGTCCAAAACTATAAGTATATATTATAATTACAATAGTTTATTTCTTCATACATATGTCCGCTAAAGCGGTTCATTTTTTTTTAACTCTAGTAATACAAAGACTTATCAAACTTACATTTCATTTACAACTTCTAACATCACAGACAAATGGTACATAAGAAAATAATTCTTTGTACTTATATACACGTTGTTTTCTAAAGATATAATAATGAATTTTTGTACACAAGAGGGTTCATAATCTTAAAGAAATTATAATGTATTATATAAAATAAGTATATGTTTCAAGTTCATTAGAATAAAATTACAATTTTTCAAAAATTAATAGTTAATTTTTTATTTAAACATGCAAAAAGAAAAGAAAAACGTTTCCGAGATGCTTTGAGGAAATAATTTTAAAAGAGGTCAGTGGAAAAAACACCGAACTTAAAATAAATTAAGAACCCCATAATAAAACAAAAAGAAAAAAAAAGAAAATATTGAGACTTGGAGAAGAGCCCTATATATATTTAAAAGGAATAACAACTTTTTTTTGTGGTTTTTACGATTTTTACACAAAATTGTAGAGGTCGCTACAATTTTCACTGATTAAGAGCGACCACCAACCTGGAACTTTTCAATATCCTCGACACTGAGCATGTTTATGTTTTGTGACATAGCAGGCATGTTTGGTAAACGGCCAGCACGGGCTTGTGCCAACAGTTCTGGAGAAAACCAACGTGCAAGCTGATTACTAACAGGAGATTGTACCCGGTTCATACGAGATTTATCCCCAGAACCATAATTTATACCTTTATAAAATCAAACAAACAGTAGATAATGTTAATTTCTATTGAATAATCATAATTAATTGATTACAATCTATGGACTAAGAATTTTTTTTTAAAGTATTTAATTTTTAATTATTATAAAAGCATGAAACATAGTTTCAATCTAAAGATAAATCAACAAAAATAAAACTCACTGCGACCATTCATATTATTGGATTGTTGCTGCTGCTGCTGCTGTTGTTGAGCTCCATGGTATCTGGGATAATTACCACTCAATATTTGCTGGATAGTTGTATTAACTGGCCGTTGCTGTTGCTGCTGCTGTTGTTGTTGATGCTGCTGCATAAACTGCTGTTGCTGGATTTGCTGTTGCAGAGTATTTATTTGATGCTGAAGTGCATGCTGGGTAACTAAACAAGTTTAACAATATTTATTTTAATTAACAATTCAACATTCTTATTAATAAACAAAAGCAGAAAAAAGGTATTATATCTAACCAGATCTTTCATCAGGTATATGGTGTTTGTCTACCAAAGGTTCTGAGGTTGAAGTCATTTTACGTAACACAGATGTTGGAGTAAGGCCAATTCTTGGTTGAGATTGTGACTGAGATGAGCCTAAATCCATAGCACCTTCACCATATGATGCATTATGAACCTAATTAAAATAAATATATTAATACATTTAAATAATCATTCGTTCTTTCTATAAGCGACGCATACATTTTCCATCCTTTTGTGGGTTTGATCGAGCAGTTGTCTTTTAAGCATTTGGCTTTGATACAATGCAGCTTGTTGTTGTTGTTGTTGGTAAACTAAATCCTGTTGGTTAGCCATTCTTTGGGCATCTAAAATTATAAATTAGTATTTTTTAATATAAAGTATATCTTTTTCGATAGTATCATATTTGAATTAAACACATACTGCTTGAATGTTGAAAGACTTTCATTAGACAAATAAGAGTTTCACGATAACGAGATTGATTAGTACTTGTCTTTTTCCATTGTTCTACTAAATGATGTAGCATTACTTCACCACGTTTTATTCCTATTAAAAAAATATTATTAAAATATTTTGAATACAAATATGTAACGAATATGTATATAATTATATATGTTATACCCATAAGCATTTCTTGTGCTTCGCGACTTTGCAATATATCTTTGGTTGGTGTGTAGAAGTTGACCATATTTTGAAGTTCCACAGGCAGTTTGAACATATGTTGCTTAGACTGTTGTTGTTGTTGTTGTTGAGCAGCCATTGCTTTTGCAACCATATTATTTTCATGTTGCTTTTGAATCTAAATTAACAATTAAAAATAACAATTAGTATCTAGATAGTGATGAGGAAATCTTATAAAATATTGCTTTTTTTTTTTTACAATTTTCTAAGGTGAGAGCCCTAGGCGACATAGGCCATTGGGCTTTTGTGTTGTATAGGTTTGTATTGTAGGTTTTTGGGAAGGTAAGGGGGAAAACGTGTGTGTTTGATTTGGCAGAATTTCGAATGGGGCACCCGTAGGTTTCTGCCATGCCCCGGGGGTGGGGGATGGCAGCACTTGTTCTCCGGTCACCGCGACTTGTCCGGAGAAAAATGCCGCCCGGT